CAACTTGGGGAAGACTCGCGCTTGGAACGCCGGCGGCGTGCTGCCACCGGGCATCGATGCCGTCGGGACCGCCGAAGACCCCAGCTGGGTGGGCGACCTGTCCCTGCCACCCCACCAGCAAGGCTTGGTTGTCCTCGGGTCCCCTCTCGGCAGCCACGCGCCCACACAAGCGGAGAAGCGCGCGTCCCAGGACACACTCCTGCAGCGTATCCTTGCCGTGCCGCACCTGCAGTCGGCGTGGCTGATACTGCTGTGTGCAACTACCTCCTTCGCATCCTGCCCCCTTGCCACACCCAGGCGGTGCTGCGCTGCCTGGGGGCTCCTGAGCGCTGAGGAGCCCCTCGAGCTTGATGCCCTGCAGCGCCGACGGGCCCAACTACCCTTGGCGAGGGGCGGGATGGGCTTGCGGTCTGCCGAGCGAGGGAGGTCTGCTGCCTACTGGGCATCTTGGGCTGACACCCTGCCCATGATCCAAAAGCGGCACCCGGTCGTCGCCGGCAACTTGGCTGTTTCGCTCGCTGCGGGCGGACAGCGCGCGCCCAGCGTGCGTGCCGCGGCGGAGGCTGCTGAGGCGCTGCGGGCTGATGGCCTCCAGCCCCCCGCGTGGGACGAGCTGCTGCGCCTTGACCCGCGCAGCTAGGGTAGAGACTTTGGCGATTACACCCGTGGGTGGCAGCGTGCTGGCGGAATGGTGCTTGACGCCGCTGACGAGGCTGGTCTGCTTGCTGACCTTGATCCTGCCTCTCGCGCGCTGCTCCTTTCCCAAGCAGGCGACTATGCCGGGTGCTTCTTCACTGTCCTCCCCACTGCCCCCGAGTCGGACCCTCACTTTCGCGTGCGGCCTTGCGCTGCCTGCGCGTGCCGCTTCCCTTAACAGCGAGCGGGTTTGCCCCTGTCGGGGCGCTCTGGATGCCTTGGGGGACCACCGTGCGGCGTGCGCGCGCGCTGGCGTGGTAGGACCCCGCAGTGTGCCCCTGGAGCGCACGGCTGCCAGGATCTGCCGCGAGGCTGGCGCCCGCGTGGCCGAGAACGTGCTCGGCGGTGTGCAGGTCGCTGTGGACACCACCCTTGTCAGCCCCGTCCGAGCTGACGGCGCTCCGCGGCCGGGGGCTGACCGTGAACCCGGCCTAGCCCCTGCGCCAGATTCGACGCCGCAAGCGCCACCGCACTTACCCTGAGCTCCTCCGGAGCCGGCGCTGCCGCCTGCTTGTCCGGCCTCGGGGTCGGTGGCCGGTGCTCCCGGACGGGGTGGCCTTCGTGCGGCTCGCGCGCCAAAGTCGTCGTGCCGTGTCCCCGAACTGCTGCGCGGAGCCGCTGTGCAGGCGTACGTGCGGCGGTGGGCTGCCCTCCTCGCAGTCGCCGCGCAGCGCGCGCTGGCTGCCAGCCTGCTGCAGCTCCCGCTGTTTGGGGAGACGTGTGTTGATGGCGCCGAGCCGCCGGTGAGCGATCTGCTCGCCGACGCCATCAGGCCCATCCTCTGGGGCAGGTCCGCGCCAAAGTTGGCTGCATGGGCTCTGCTGACGGGTGGCGGCCCGCACGCGCTCCGGACAGCGCGACGCGGCACGGCGGCCGGGTTGAGCGGCGCCACTGCCGAGCACTACCGGCTGCTGCTGGAAGAGGAGGCCTCTTTGGAAGCGTTTGCGAAGGTCGCGACCCTACTGGCCCGTGCTGAGGTGCCGGGGGAAGCGCTTGTCTGCTGAACGTACCGGGCCTGCCTTTACGGCCTTAGGTACAGCGCTGTGGGAGCGTGCGCATCTGGGGGCATGGAATAGTGCACTAGCACGCCGATGCCTGGGCAGGCCAACGACGGGGCCATTGCCCGCTGCCTGGAGCAGCCGGCTAGGCCGCGTCCACCCGAGCCGTGGCCTATTGCGCTTCCTGCGTTGACCTGTGTCTGTGTGGATGAGTTTCTATTTGATGCAATGCCGCTGGGCGCGTGTTTGATGGTCTTGGACTCAAGGTCAGCCTTGCTCTTTTAGCGGCGATGATTCTCGCCGCTTAGCGAGAACATGTGCCTGGCAACGTGTTCCGAGGTTGAGGTCGCGAAGGAAAACGTTCGTCGCTACCCGCGCGCCAGCCTCGCGACAAACCCGGGCGACGGCGCGCTCGAGCGGGTCCGCGCGGTGGACGAGCACGCCAGCGGTGGGGCAAGCAGTCCGGTGGTCACCGAGTGGGTCAAGGCGACGCTTGTGAGCCCAGTGCGGCGCGATGGGACCAACCGACCCCGCCGACGCCGAGCCCGGCCTCGCCCTGCGGGACCAGAAGCGCCGGAGCACCTACCCGGAGTTCCTCGCGAGGGGCCAGCCCCGAAGACCAGCGCGGAAAGGTTGCCGCCGCATACGCGCGCCGGTGGGGGCAGTTGCTGGCTGTCGCGGCGCAGGGCGCGCTCTCGGCCAGCCTCAGCTCGCTTCCTCCCGACGCTGGCGACGCCGCTGCCGGGGCGCCGCCGCAGGGCGACGTCATCTGCGACGCCCGCTGGGCGCCGAACTCGTGAGGGCCCTTGTGTTTCAGCCCGGCTGGATGGAAAAAGGCGTGTGAGAAAAAAACCACAAAAAACAAAAAAACGAAGTGCTTGCTGATTGTTAGCAAGGCATGACACGGGGATGCCGCTTCGCCGCTTGCAATGTGTCGTCGCTGCAAGGCATGACGACGTGTTCTGGCAAGTCGCCACGCTTGATCCAGAACACACCACTGCTTCCGCGCGATCAGGGTTTTCGGGGGGGGTGAGGCTGTCCTTTGGAGAGAGGTGCGTCGCGCGGGTTTGCCGTGAAGCGGGGCCCGTGCACTTGCAACACCCGTCTGGCAGACATGAACTTACAAGTCGACCGAATCGACGAGGTGGCTAGAAGTCGTTGCCAACAGCCTGCAGCTTGCAGAGACCTCCCGTGCCCGGAGGCGCTGCGGAAAAAGGCGCGCAAAAACAATGATAACAAAATGGCCAGCAGCTTGCCGTCGACACCACCTTGGTGTCGCCCTTGTTTGGCCAGGGAGTGCCCAACCGGCCCGGCGGCCGGTACGCAGGCGCAACGCTGGGCCGCAAAGGAGCAAGCCTACTCAGAACTTTTGCGGTCAGCTCGCTGCCGCTTGGTTGTCCTCGCTGTGGAGGTTGGAGGGCGGTGGAGCGAGGAAGCGGCATCCTTTGTGCGCACCAGGAAGCGCCTGCGCGGCTCCGGGCCATTGTGACTTGTTCCTTGGTCGTGTTGTGGTCCGCTCTTTTGGCGCACTCGGCCATGACAGCGTTTGCCTGCTTGCTCTTGTGCCAGAGCAGAGTGCACACGTACAACACGCAATCTGTTCAACGCGTCGGCATCACCATTGTTTTTTCTCTAGGAACATTGACGCAAAACTGCTGAAAAAAACGGCGCGATGGAGATTTTCTTCTAAATTTTGCTTGCCCTGGCTTCCACGGTGGTGTTCTTTTTCCGCGCGCCTTTTTCCTGTGCAAGTCCAGTCCCAAGAACCTCGCATTAGGGATGCCTCCGGGCATGAAGGAAGGCTGTTGGTGAGCCGGACAGCCTCCGGGCACGACAGGCAGGAGGCGAGGGGCGGAGGCTCCCCTGCGTCGGCAAGCGGGGCGCTGTAGCGGGGGCAGCGCCCCGTCCATTGCAGAGGCCGGGCCCGGCATGCAGTGGCATGATCGTTCCCCGCCAGTCCTTGTTGTTTTTGGCGAGGATGTTTGTCAGTTCTTTCGGTGTGTGTGTGTGTGTGTGTTGTGTATTCAGCTTGTTTCACAAGCTTTTTTAACATTGTCTCCGGCAAAACGTCCTCGCGCACATCTGGTTTGCTGATGTAGCCCGCTTGTGTCCCGATAAGACAAGCTTGTGGAGCAGGCCAGCGTGGCTCACTGAGCAGCAACAAACTCGGGAGAGTTCAACGGAGCCACCTCCCAGATTGAGATCTGCTGAATTCCAGATGCGGGTTTTGCCGTGGTTCAGCTGGATGCGGTTGTGACGCCACAAGGCCGCAGCGAGCAGGTGAAGGACTGGTCGGACACGCCCAGGCTGAACCACCAAGTTGGTGTCCGCCAGGAAGGAAAGCGGTGCTTCACCAAAACGCAAGACTCCTGAAACACAAAAACGGCCACAGGGCAGAAGAGACACTCCTGCGCAAGCCGGGCAGATGTTTTCCATCATCCAGCAGCGTGGCATGCAGAAACACGCCGAAAGTTGGCCAGGACAATTTCAGGCAGGTGGTGGGCAGGCTCATCCGGTTAGAACTCGAAGATGCAGTTTGGCCCCAGGCTGGGCTTGGCAACTCGCCCGGCCAACATGCGGAGCTGACGGGCTGGGCATGGAACGAGTGTCGTGAAGGATGGCATCCTGGCAACGCAGCCTCGCGAACTGTTGTTCAGCTATGTCCGAGCAGCCGCCGGACCAACAAAATCGGCAGTAGATTCGTGGCAGGTCAGCTTACACATGCGCGAGGCAGCCGAGATGCAAGGGAGTGCCACTTCACCAAGAAGGCAACAACGCATCGAATAAACGCGGCGGCTTTACACGTGGACATTGGCTCTAAATCGCCTGAGCTTTGCAACGGCACTCATTCCGTTTGGTTGTTTCGAACCAATGGCGGCATTGGTGAAATTCAGGCGCCTCACAAAGCTAGTCAATCAATTGATCATTCCATCTCATGCGTGGTCGTCCAGGTCGTCTCGGAAATCTGCTTGCCAAATTCTTTGCCCAGCTTTCGACGCTCTCGCATGCTCTTGCCATTTAGCCCAGCGAGGTGTGTGTGTGTGTGTGTGTGATGCCTTTCTTGGATCACAGGTTTGTTTGCCGCTTTTGAACGTCACTCTCTATCATTGTTTATCATTCGTCCACATTGCTTGGGCTGTTCAAGAGTAACCCTCAATCCTTTTCTGGGTTGTTTAAGGGCTCCCCTTTGTGTTGATTTCCCTCCAAGGCCAAGGTTTTCATTTTGAAGTGCTGTTCGTTGCGCGAACAAACATGCTTGTTGTGGTCTGATTGTGCCATCAAGCTCAGCCACCACTTGCGACCCGGTTTTCGGCTTAAGCCTCGTTGTGACGAGGCCCGCCATGTGGCTCCAAGGCGGGAGTTGCACGAGGGCACAACAGCACTTGCAAGGTGTAGTGCTTGCACCCCATCTTTTGCACCTTGCACCCGTGCACCCTGCGCTGCCGCCAGACTCATGAATATATCCGGGACCGCAGCTCCAGAGGCGCTGGCAGAGTCCATGCGGGGCGTCGCCTTTCGTGGATTGGCCGGAAGCACGGGTCAATAGTGAGGACATTGAATGCGAAGACACTTCATTGGAGCAGAGCAAATGGAAAAGCCGCGCGCTCACCTGCCAACATTGAGAGAACGAGAACACAAAGAGAGAGAGAGAGAGAGAGTGAGATTCCGAATGAAGCTGCCGCCTGGCTTGCGACAAGGCCCATCTTTTGCATGCTCCGCGTCTTTGTTTGGTCCAGGCTGGGATGGGATAGTCCTGGGAGCAAACTTGAAAACTCTTCTCACGCACCATGTGTGTGTGTGTGTGTTTGCATTTTGTCTGGGAATTGCATTTTGTTTGGGAAGGGTTTGCTCTGCAACAGACTGCAAAGTTGATGCGCTCAGCGACATGCAAGGCCTACTTGTTTGTTTAGCTGACACCGATGCTGGCTGCTTGCTGGTGGCCGGGCAATCGGGGTCTAGGCAGGCTGCAATTTTTCTCACCCTTGGTGGAAGATGTAGTGTGGCAGTGAGCAGGTGGGGTTACAAACTGCTGTTCTTGCAGGCGGGCTCGGCTGAGTGAAAGGGAAAGTCAGCAATAGTTCTTTTGCACGCGCCGCGAAGATAGCTCTCATCCCAGTGCTGTTCATGGCGCAGGAGATTTTGGGCATTTTTGGGCCCTTGTTCCTGCAGGGGCCCAAAGAGACTTTTTAAGACCGCAGGACTTGACCGTGCGGTTGGGCGTGTGCACCAAGCAAGGTCACGGGCTCAGCCACGCTTATCGGAGAAGCTTGGAGTGAAAAGCTGAGGCCACAGCGCTTGTATTCGAGATCACTTTGGACCTCGTTGGCCAGGTGCTCAGGCAGTCTGAGGTTGCACGTGGCCCTGTCAAATTGGGCATATTTGGATGTGAGGTGCTGGTTTGCCACCGTGCTCCTCCTTTTGGAGTGCGTGGTGGCCATGGTGTCTGAGATGGCACGCTCAGAAGCTTTGTCCGTTGCAGGTTGTTGCTTGCTTTGGTGACTTTAGTGGGTGCTGAGCCACATGTGGGTAGTGCCCTTTGCGCAGAGCGGCATAGCTGCTGTGAGCCACCTGTGGGGTGGGGGGCCCAGAGGGAAGTGCCAAAGGACTTCAGTAGATTCACATGGAGCCCTACAACGCATCATTGTGGAGGAATCTTTTTGGAGGATGCGCTTTTTGCGTATGTTAATTTGCGGGAGAGTAGTTAGCCCTTGCCGCTGAGGCTTAAACTACGCGGTCTCCGTGCTTGTAGCTGCTTTTGCCTTGGCCTCAGGCCCCCTAAAAAGGTTTTTTAAGTGCTCAGGGGTGTGGTGCGCTTTGAGGTCATCATCGGAGCAGTCATGAGCTTGCGGTACAGGCAGATTGAGGCAAACTGATGCTGACAAACCTCGCAGTTTATGTAGCCTTATTTGCCAGAGCGCTCAGTAGGCATGATCATCCATCCAAAACAAACGAGACTGTGTCATAGTTCCTGTGACGGGCCGTGGCTATGACCCTAGCGGCGCATTTGGGGCTCATTGGAGAGGTCATTGGTATCATCCTTGGAATGTTCGAGTTGGTGTTCGCGCACGCCTCAGCTGTCGGGAATGCTGACTTGTCAAGCTTTTGCTTGGAGCGTTATGGAGCGCTATTTCATCGAAAGCCGGATGATTGTGTGTGTGTGTGTGTGCGTGCGCGTCTGTTTCTTTCTTGTGTTTGTGTCTGTGTCTGTGTCTGTGTCTCTATCTCTATCTCTGTCTCTGTCTCTGTCTCTGTGTGTGTGTGCCTTGTGTGTGTGTGTGTGTGTGTGCGAGTGCGCCTTCAGTGTGTGTTGGGGTTTGAGAGAATTCTTGAGAGGGGATGGGGAACTCATATGTGCGTGGTTTCCAATAATCACGCATACGATGTCGCGTCAACCTGATGAGATGCGTGTGCTGGTTCAAGCCTCGTAGGTAGGAATGGCATGAAGTCTCACTCAAATATACCCCAAAGACATACAGTGTTGCAATGCAAGAGCCGATGTGCCCCGACAGAACTCAATCCAACTTTTGAGCCGACAAATATTGTACGAACTCCTGGTGGGGCAATCGCTGCCGCGATGCCATCCCGCCATGGCCCCTGGGTGTCGAACATCAAGTCTTCCGCAAGAAGTTTATTGCAGAGGCCGAGTGATGGTAAAGTTTGGGCCGGTCAGTCGATTGAAGCGTTTGAAACTCCACATTTCCAAAGGCTGGCTGTTGCTTCGGCCGTTGAAACAGCGTCATTTTTGAAGGAGCCTTCTGTGGCCCCTTGGTCGGATTTCATGTGCATCAAGGAGTCGGCACGTGTCGCGCGCAGGACCAGGACCCGAACCGAGAATGCGCCCTGGCTGGCATGTGGTCAGGCAACCTTTCGGTGCTGAGCTGTAGCGCATTTTGAGTCATTGCTCCACGTTTTCTCAATGTTTTCTGTTTTTCAGGTGATTTCGGTCGTGTGAGGGCAGATTGTTACCAGGTGCGGCGTGGCGTTGTGGTGTCGTGGTGTCGCGGAGTGCAAGGGCTGCTAGGGGCTGAGCGTGAGTGTGCGCCTGGCAAACGCTTCAGCCGAGGCATTGTGGTGTTTGAATGGAGGCTGGGCCTCCGTTCGATGAGAATACGTGAATGCGTCGTTGTGCCGAAATGGGAGTGCGGGTGAACGCGCGTCTTTGGTTTTTCGGCGAAATAGCCACGAAACGAATGCCAGGCCGCGGTGGCGGCTCGAGTGGGGAGACGCTTTGGGCGGCATTCGGAGGGATTTCAGCAGAGGGATTGGTTCCCACTTCTGCGAGGATAATTCCCTTCAATTTAGGTGGGTCCAGCAGAAGCCCCAACAGAACTGGGCAACAGTGCTATTCGGCTATACCTGTTCTTTGTCATGCCCTTGTGACTCATGACCCTTGGTGCTTTTTCAACTGACGCACGACGCTTGTCACTGTGCTGGCAAGCTTGTGCACATATTGAGAGGTTGCACTCCTGACAGCGGGGACGGTCAGGAGATCACAGACCCGTCTCTTGGAACTGTTAATGGCAGTCTCATTGGAATTGGACCATGTTGGAATATTATGGAATATTGGCATGGCAGAAGCATTAGCAAATTGCCAGATTGCTTCTGTGCAGTTCAATGGGTTTGATGTTTTGTTCGTCCTCGGCTGGCAGAAAGGGGCGTCTTGAATGTGAGGGTCCTGGTGGGTTCCAAGACGGAAGTTTGTGGCGTCTTCTCAACATCTTGTAAGGGAGAGCATCGGAAGAAGTGCTGGCTGGTAGTGGTTCAAATAAATTGGGATGCAATCAGAGGGATCTAGTTGGCTTCTAGCTTCACGGAATCACGAGAGGACCAAGCTGTCAGCTTCCATTTAGCTCGAGACTGGGTTGCAGTTGCTTTTGCTGATCTATTTGGAAAGCCAGGTGATCCGCCCAAGACCTGAGTTTTGGTTCAGAACGTCGGCGCCTGAGGATGGGCCTGCCACGGGCACGGGACCACTCCAAGGCAGGGGGCGATTCCGGATTCGGAGCCGCCAAAATTGGCTGAGCAACTCCTCATGGTCTCCCGCGCAAGCATCCCAAGAAGAGTAGCCTCAAAACTCAGGGGAAACTAGGCCCTCTCCGGTGGATCGCTTCAAATGGAAACCGACGGGAACCACCTCGATTCGTGAAGGAAGGGTATAATGGACCTCAATACACTCTCGATGAAGCAAGGAGCTTCACGTGCCTCCTGACTTCTTCGTAGGTGACAATGGCCCAGGAAGGTTTCCGCTTCTGGAGGCCCTTGGCGCACTCAGGCCCTAGCTCGGCTTTTTTTTGGATGGTGATTCCTAGCCCGTCATCAAATCTCAAACTTTCGATATGGCTGGCTTCCCCTTTGGTTCCACTGTAAAGGGCCAAGCAAAGAGGGATCCACAGTCTTTAGATACTCCATGCTGGTCGCCGAAAATCTTAGCCGCTCAACCAATCACCTCTGCGCAGGAGGGGCCGCTCAGGACCCTGCAGGGGACCTGGGTGCGACCGGAAGACGCACTCCTCGGCAATGAGCTGCTCAGCTGCAACCTCGCAATTTGAGGGATTGACACTGCTGGTTCCGAAGTTTCGCGTCCAGTGCCAAACTGCCTGACAAGATCGGATGGATGCATGCTGCACACACACAAACAGGGACGGAGCGGGAAAGGTTCCACCAACAAACCAAAACGCATCGACTCCGAACGATTTCAAGGTGCAGCAAGTCATCAAGCATTTGCAACAAATAAGAGTGATGAGGTTACCTCAAAGCGCAAAAGCCTAACACTCCATCTCCTGGCGTGATTCACCCATCGATGCACAGACGCGGAGGGAGAGAGAGGAGAGAGAGAGAGAGAGAGAGCTTCACACACACACACACACATATATATATATATATACATACACCCGCTTGGTTCAGCACACGCGCACACACACGCGCGCGCGCGCGCACACACACACACACACACACACACACACACACACACACACACACACACACACACACACACACACACACACACACACACACACACACACACACACACACACACACACACACACACACACACACACACACACACACACACACACACCCACTCACACACTCACACACACACACACACACACACACACACACACACACACACACACACACACACACACACACACACACACACACACACACACACAACACACACACCACACACACACACACACACACACACACACACACACACACACACACACACACACA